GGTTTCATTGTAGGGATGTGCAGCTCTCTAGGTAAACTGCAGTGCAGTGCACTAGAAGCGCCAAAGGAAAAACATCTCCTTGCTGACTTTTAAGCCAGAAGGTCTTTGAAAGCCATCCAGTTCTGTGATCTGCACAGCTAGGAAGTGGTTCTGTTTCATATCCAACACTCTCCCTGCACCTGCATTGCAGGAAGTTTTTCTTCCAGCTACTTGTTCCGTGCTGCTGCTGGAAAAACTGCAGACACTGAGGTGGGCAGGGGTGCATTTCAGGAACAACAAAAACAAACTACACACCCAAGCTTGATGCATACTCATGAAGGGCTGGCAGTACCTAATGGGATCAAAAGAACAAGGTATTGAAAAACTACTTGGCTTCTGGCTCAAACCTGTTTAATTGTGGGATCTCTTAGAATTGGATTAAAATATTACAGTAAGGCTCTATCTCAGATCTAAAGATATTTTAGAACCTTTGCCAAAGCAAATTTCTTCTGGAAGCTAAAAATATCCTGTGCAGGATGGAGGTTGGGCCCTGGTGCTCCTATCTCCTGCACCATGCCACATCACACCTGCCTCTATGGATCGGTGCTTACAATGTGGGTGGGGAGCAGGTGCCTCACCTCTGGGAAGAGAAGGTCTTGGTTTGCTTCTTGGGGCTCTCAGGAGGATTCATGTCCTCTATTTGGTCTGTCTCTTAATGCCACTACTGGATTAAAACCAAAAACCCACCCTGATTACACAGCAACTGGAGAGCAGCTGAACTGTGACCAGTTGAATGGGGAATGTCGTTCTTGCAATGTGTTTTAATCCCCCAGACTGCTCCTTGCCACTGCTTCAGCTCCTTCCATAAGGAGAACTGCCCTGCTGAAAGCACAGGCCTCTGTCGCTTTGAACGTGCAGTGGGAGCTCATTTGAATCCTTTTAAGAACCTGGTTGGTAGTCAAATCCAGCTGCTTGGTGAAAGGGTGGTGAGCCACCCATGCTGTTCTAAGCAAGTGAGCTCAGAGACTTGATTATGGAACAGTCTCCTGGCATAAGTGCTGGGCTTTCTGCCACCTGCTGTACCTGTTCCCACTGTTTCAGCCTCTTGTTCTTTATGTTCAAAATCCTAATGCTTGCTTGCTTACATTCGTGTACTCAAGAGAGCAGCTCTGATCAGAAAGCAGCATTCCCATCAGCCTGATTTTCAGGGCTACGCACCAGGCAATGCCAGGCCCAATTGTTTTGCTCCTGGCAGGGAGGCCAGTCCTTCACTCACTGTCCAGACCTCTGATAAGACTGATTTCCCCATCTAAGTTTCTGACCACAAATTTGTAATTTATTTTCCTGTAAAACCAACTTTCATCTTTGCCAAATGAAGTGGTAGCAGGTTTGCAGTTGTCTGTTGAAATAAAGCAGCCTGTGGCTGGCGTGCAGCAGCAAGCTGGCATGAGCTGAGCCTGCACCAGGAGATTAGGCAGATAGGCCCCACAGGTACAGCTCAGCCCAGGACTGACACCCAGTGACCCTGTTCTTGGGTACAGGAGGGGAACTGCACACAGCAGGTCAAGCTGCTGGTCAAGTCCAGAATAAGCTCTGAAACCATGTTAGTAGAGCTGTGTTACTAAGCATTTGTGAGCAAGGCTGCTTAAGTGGCACCACAACTTGGTACATGTGCTGGGGATTGGGTCTGTCCTGGCCTGCCAGACCACTGTCCTGCCCCACTGGGGCACTGCAGTGTAGGCTGGAGTCTTCCTCATACAGCCCCTTTGCTGCCTGGGAAATGACTGCAGCAGTTCCATGCTGGATTAGCACCTGACGAAGAGAGATCTTTACAGCAGTGACTCAATGTCCTAATTCAAGTTCCAGTTTGGAGCTGAAAAGAACAACACAATTGGAACTGACAGGTTATCTGCTTCCAGCCTGTTTCTTCAAGCCCTGTGCATTGCTGCTCATGTCAATACTAATTTTCTGAACACCCAATGACAGAACTTCTTTGCTGTGTGTCTGTGAATGCTTCAACGGTTCCTTAAGTCTGGTCTACAGCTAAACTGCTTGATCTCACTCCATACTGAATTGCTTCTGTTTTCAGCTACTTGGCAAACCAATAACCACCAAATCCCAAAGTATTTGTTATGAAGTACTTGAACAGCTCAGCACTTAAGTAACTGGAAGCTGTTGGTCCCCTGCCTCAAATGCCAGGCCTGGAGGTGCAATCAGCTGGTGGGAAGCGGCTGCACAAGGCCACCTTGCCTGGTGAGAAGTTCCTGTTCTCTTGCTTCCACTCCCTCAATCTGTTCACTTGCTGTTCTCGAGCCTACTTTTCTATATTGTCCTGCTTACTCATTTTGTGGGTGTATTTTTCATATTAGTGCTCCTTTCTATAATGATCGGAGTACTTTGCAAGCAGCTACACTTAATTTGAGCAAGAGATCTACAGAGGCTCCCATTACTAGTGCTATATTAATGAAAATCTCTTTTCCCCCCAGTAGCTGATGTCATTTGAAATTTCAGTGAGCCCTTTCCCCTGTACCTGCAGCACCAGCTGTGGTGGGGCTGCCTCTGGCTTTCAGGACTAACAGGAAGGTTGGGAGAGCAGAGATGTGTTAATTTTTAAATCTTTGAAGCTAACTGCAAATTTGACTTCATCTGAGTCACTGGAGACAGAAGGGTGGTTCCTGGTGTGATCAGGTAGATAGGGGCTCGCTCAAGCCGAGGTTGGTATGCCCTCTAGTGTAGTATTTATTACTAAAAAGCAGTAAGTTTGAGAGAACCCATTTGCTTCCCAGTCTTCTGGGAGCCTGGTCCAAGAAATACCAAGCGCATTCTTAGCCTCACAATACAGTCAACAAAGTAACTTCATTTTGTTAATTATTAATTTACTCCCAACGTCGCCTAGCAGACTATGCTGTGAATAGCTGTGGTATTTTTCACCTTTGTTTGAAACTACAAAAATGATTTGGGGTTGTTTTGTTCTTTGAAACCTCCATTACTTGTCTCTTTCTAGTGGAGCAGCTCAGAATAACAACTTTCTCCCTGAGAATTGCTGCTACCTCCATAGGCAGCAGAGTGTCTCAGAAACTAGTGATTCAGAGTCCTATTCTCACTTCAGGAGTTGTTTCTAGCTTCATCCTCTTGTCTTTCTAAATAGCAAAGATTAAAACCGAGCAAGAAAATCTTGGCGCAGTGCACAGAGAAGCCAGTGTAGGGAGAGGGGCCAAAAGATGAACAAGATAGTGTAGATCTTGCAACAGCAGCTCAGCACAACCACCCCCAGGTGTGCTTCCCGCCCAACAGTGCAGGATGGAGAAGCTAGAACTGAGCAACAGCTCATAATCTGGAGTGGCACTGACACTGGAGCTATAGAGAGCTGCATATTGCTCTCTAAATGGCAGTGTTGTCCTCCTCTTGCTCTGGAACCTGTGGGGGCTGAGACACTTTTCCCTTTGGAAGCAATGGCAGGGGTATTTTTTGAACCTTGTGTATTGGAATTGAAGCTGAAAGTTGTTGCTCCTGGATCTTCATGAAGACATGCCCATAGGACATCCCACCTGCTGGATGAAGGGTGTAGAGTACTCATGTCAGCACAAGTAGCCTTGCTTTGAGCTTACTTCTCCTCTGCTGCCAGCTGTGGTCTTACACCACTGCAGTGGCCTTTGGCAACAGATCTGGGGAACTGGAGGAGCCGACTCCAATCCAAAACTCCCCTCTTCCAACCCAGGAGGGGCTAGAGGAATGAAACATGCTTCCTGGCTCACTGCAGACACATGGCCTGCACTGTTTGGCCTGGATGAGCTGAAAGAACACCTGTGTCTCAGTGCCAGAACAAAGTTTCAGGCAAGCAGGTGCAGGCCAGGGCTGAGCCTATAGCAGGGTGTTCTGCAGTCTGGCTGCTTCCTGAAGTACCAGCACAGCTCTGCTAACCTACTGGTGGGCTGGACAGCCTGGAGGTGAGTCTGGCACAGTCCTGCTTGCAGCGAATGTGGGGCAGGCACACAGTAGTGAAAGCATGTGCTAAAGGTGTTGCAGCAAGACCACTGCATTGTACTATTTACCACAGGACCAGGCTAGCTGCTGCCTCAAAATATCTGAGCTGATCTCCAGTGACAGAAGCTAAGTTAGAGCCCAGCAGACCCCAGGACATAACTAAAAGGAGTGAGGCCATGCTGTCAGTGACCTTCCTACCATCTGTGGATGACAAGCCAGGAAGAGGTAAGTTACCACATTGCTGCTGCCAGCCCACTGCCCCTGTTCTGGAGCTGGAGCCACAACCCTTGCACAGCTGAAGTCAGGAGCTGTCTGCATACCCACCCAAGTTGAGTGCGCAGGAACAGGTTCCTTCTCTTGGCTGTTTAGCTTGTAAATTCTTTAGAAAAAGGGCTGAATCTGGGTCTGTCTGCACAGTATTTACATAATAAAGTCCTGCTCCTTGTTACAGTGCCAGGTCCTTCCCAATGCCAGCAGCTTTATAGCCTCACTGTCTTCCTTACCAACTCCACAGAGTTGTGCAGCTGGAAAAACCTCCTATTTCCCATGGCAGCTCCTTTATTTTTGCCTCTACAAACAGGGAGCACAGTTAAGCCCCAGAAAACATCTTGGGCATTTTGTAACAGAACTTGCCTGACCAGTGCTTGAAGCATTTAACTGACCCATTTCCTTTTTTTTTTTTTTTTTTTTAATAAAATCAGTCATCACAGCTTGGGGCAATGTACAGTTGTAATTCTCACCTTGACAGGTCAGAGCTGCACAGCACCGTGCTGCTCCCATGAGGGAAGTGCTGGAAAGCTGACAGTGTGTGACAACCCCCTCCACGAAGCATTAAAAGCAGTCGAGAGTGCATGTTACAATGGGCTCAGGGAAAGACTGAGTTTCCATCTGTATGGTTAAAAAAAGCCATCTGGACCTCCCTATGTGCAGTGTGACCGAGTTGCATCTGCAGAGTTGGTCTGGGCTTAGACAGGTCCTGGCTGAACACCTGGATAGGAACCTGCCCACCACCCACCATCATTTTCTGTGACAGTGGTCACACTCTGCACCATCACTCATAATAGACAAAGGAAAAATCCCAAAATCCTGTTCTGTTTGGATGTTTGTTGTGGCGTGCCAAGCTTCGATGGTTGATGTATTTCACAAACTTCATAGTTTCTTTGTCTCTATAAACTAAGGCCAAGCAGTTGTCCTCTGGATTCACTGTCAATAGCTGAAAGACATGAAAGTAAGGGAGGAAATCAGTTTCACAAAAATGGCTTTAGTAGAATTCTGAAGAAATAAACCAAACAGTTTCAGAAGTTAGTCAGAACAAAGGTCTGGTGTTAGAAAATGAACTGTGACACTGTTTTCATTTTAGTACCCTTCAACCTGAAGCACCAGTAATCAGTAAGGGGTTCTGGACTTCTTACTAGTATGACTGCTCTGCACTTGTCACTAGCACTGATGCTGAATGTGGCCCCAAGGAACAGCCCTTCCCTGGAAAAGCATCATCTCTGCTACAGCCTTGTGTCCCTCCAAGGCAGGATTCCCTAACAGCCCCAGGTGCAGGAGCTATGAGGCACCGCCAGGACCCAGGTCTCATGCTTTAGGTGAGCACCAGCCTCTTGAAGCTGAGGCCAGAGCTATGCCCACGAGCTGTGAATGGGGCAGGAGGAATCCAGCGTGGTACTGAGCACCCTCGGGATTATGTCAGTGTTACAACAATGTGTAATTATGTCTCTCACAATTTTGCCTGATTTGCAGCTAGCAACTGAAGTCCTTACCTCTTCATCTTCACCTTTAGCGATGTAGGAAGTAAAGCCACCATATTCAGGATCCCAGTCTTAAATAGAAAAGAGAGATTCTTAGAACATTCCACACTGCCCAGGCTCCACACAGCCCTCCTGGAGATGCTGTTTTTTACCCTACTCCCCACAGTTACTGGATCCCCAGTTTACCTCCTCCAGTCTGTTTTTTATTTCTGTTCAGAAACAACTTGAAGCAAATGTACAGGATTTGCCTTTTACCATAGGTGGGCTATTTAAAGTTGTTTGGTGCTCTGTTTCTCACATGGAAAACAGTTCTGACTTAGCAGATGCACAAAAGGATTTCAGTATAATCACAAGCATGTGCCAGATGGTTTCAGCTGTGTGTTCTGGGCTTGGCTGGTCTAAAATGCTTTGTTTAGATTTTTGTTTTCATCACTATCTAACTAGTAATCAACCTGAAGTGGTTAGACATGCCTAAAGTAACTCTTGAAAACCCTGAGCTTTGTGAATTGGAGGTGCGGTGGTAATTCTGACGAGAAAGGGGATGAAATGGAACACTTTCAGTAGGTATTCTGGCCACTACCGTGCCCAGAGCCACTGCTTGGGAGAGAAAGGGTCTGGGAGCCGCAGCGTTTCCCTCTGCCCAAGCGCCACCGCGTGGCTCCAGCAGGAAAGGCCAGAGCTGATTCCAAGGCCATAATCCCAAATCTTTGCATAAAGACTACTGAAACCAGGAGGAAGTCTACAGAGACCTTCCACGTAACAGACGACAGGAAACCTTTGGCTGTTGTAGCACTGCTAAGAATTCAGAAGTCCTTCCTTTACACAAGCCTTGTAAGGGGAGTCTGACATCTCCCTCTTGTCCACTTACCCTCACAGCCACAGAAAAAGAGCAAGTCGAGAGCAAATTCTGTTGCTTGAGTGTCATGCACCAGAGTGTAGTGCCCGTGGGTCCAGTGCCTCAGCTCCCCAGCACACACAGGGGCACCCGAGCCTAGGAGAGGGAACAAACACACCAGGGACAGCCACGAAGCCACACAACAGCTGCTGCCTGCTGAGCTCAGGGCGTGGGGAGCAAGATGAGTGCTTTCAGAAATTCAGCCCTTAGAACTTGAGAGCCACTGCTCAAATAAACATCAATCCATGAATCCAGAATTAATCTAATCTTTGACAGCAATGATATCTCACTGCTGACAACTAAGTGGTTGTTTAGGCTGACTGTTTTCTAAAAGGTTAAACCCTAGTTTTAGGTATCAATTTTCTAATTCTGGAATTACCTTAGTTCTGATCAGTTCACCTTTCTCCTTTTGATTTATTATCTCCTATGAGAATCTGCTTTATATGAAGCAGGGCTATGTGGATCCAGAAACCACCTAACTGTTGGCAAAAGATTATTGGGCAATTAACAGCTCCTCAGAAGTCCCACCCTTAAGACTTAGGTCTGTTCAAAATGGTATCAAGTTAGTCATTAATTTACTCCAAATTGTTTGGCAATGGTCACAGATTTCAGATACCCAATCTAACATGCTTCAAGTCCTGTGTTTGTGCTGGTGCCTTGTGCTGGCTGCAGTACAAAGTGAAATGCCAGATCCACGAAAATCACTGGGAATTCTGCTGCCAACACCCTTAGTGTCAGGATTCTGCTTGAGTCCTTTCACACTGCTGCTGCTCTACTTACCATTCTGTGTCTCACTGTCTGGTGCTTCAGGGGTGCTGTCAGGCTGCTCTGGCTGATGGGCACTGCCATCAGTGTGTTGTTCAGTCTCTTCCTGCTCAGGTTTGGGACTGTTGTGCCCAGCAGTATCTGCTGCTTGTCCTTCCCCAGCATCTTCATCCTCATCAGAGGGAGCCAGGAAGTGCAGTTTCAGGCCAGTGAAGTTGGAAAGCAGTAGAAACAAGGCCTCAGAGCGTAACAACTGCAGGAATTTCTTTAGGGTGTCAGGGAGGCTGTCTTCCTCCGCTGCCTCATAGAGTCTGAAAGACAGCAGGTGTATCAGCAGCTGTATCTCCTTGTTGGGGAACCAACAAGGACCATGTCCACGGGGGCAGCATGAACCAGTGAGGCCTCATGGCAGCTCCTGCTCAGCCTGACCAGGTGCAGTGTGTGGTCATTCCCCACCTTTTATTGGCAGGTCCCCGACTACTCCACTGGATCTCTTTGTTCTCCAATGCTTCACAGATTAATTGGTATTTCTCTTTCTAGGAGAAAAAGATAGTGCAGAAACATTAACTCCCAAGTCTCTATTGGTGTGCCAGAAGCTGTGCCTCCAGATAAGGCACTCTTTGTTTCTAACTTGTTTGAGGATCTTAGGACCACTGAATTGAGGGACACAGCCTGGGTGGGCATTGTGTCTTGTCCCTGTTGATGACCAGTAGGTATCAAATGCTACTTGGTTGTCTGCTGGGTGAGAATGCAGTTTCACTGAGGTAGAGGTGCTCAGTAAACCAGAGTTCATTCAAGCCTTAAGTGGCAAAGCCTTTCAAGTAACACAAATCTGTCATGGGTTACTTGTTTCACACACAGGTGGAGTTCCCTACGTGCTAAGCTGCAAGAGCTGAGGGACAAGGAAGAACACCCTGGTCACCACAAGGCTGGGAACCAGGAAGGATGACATGGGTTTGCAGCCTTCTGCTTTGCTTCTTGTGGGAAAGAAGAAGGTTGAAGGCAAGTGTTTGATTTTTGATGAGTGAGTCCCTACGCAGCAGTGTACAGGCAGTCCCCACAATCTTACAGTGGCTGAGGTTGGAAAGGACCTCTGGAGGTCACCTGGTCCATTTCCCTTTAGGGTGTGGAACTAGAAGGTGTTTTAGTTAACAGATATGCAAGTAAGCCCCTTCCCAGCCCTGTGACCTGTTCTGGCACATGAGATTGAATTGAACCACTGGGCTCACCTTAAGAAAGTCTTTCAAGAGAATTTCTGATCGCTCCTCAAATTCCTCCTGGATTTGAGCTTGGGAGTCCATGTCCAAATAAACTAGATTGATCCACTCATACAGTATTTCATGCTGGAAGGGAAATGGATAGCTGCATTTGCAAAGTGACAAAGATTCCCTGATTCCCCCTACCCGTCTGGCCACGGGGCTGGATTCCTGCACACACACACACACACACACACTCCATTCCTTTCTTTCACTGCACCCCAAGTATTCACCACAGTCTCTGCACTACTGTAGGTATGCAAAATGTACAGTCAAAAAAGATGCACAAGAAAGAAACTGGTACAAATCTATGGACAGGAAACAAAAAGGAGAACGGGCTAAGATTAAAGGCTCCCCAGAGCATCGGTACATCCTGTAACAGGTATTACAGGAACATGAAAGAGAGAGAAACACAGACAGGCAGATGTAGGCTTGTTACTCACATCGTGGGGGATGTGTGGGCTCCTGGGCAGGGGAGCTTCAATGTACCGCGCAGGTCTGGCTACTGATGGGCCATGAAACCAACCGCTCACGGACAAGCGGCACTTCTGCTCCGACAGAACCTCTGACACCTGCAACGACGTTGAGCAGTGTGTTAGTGCTTAGGCTACAAAACATTTAAGGACCAGATGTAACAGGCACCACATAAACTCATGACAGGAGATGGACCTGACTCCAGAGAGATCATTGCATACACAGAAAAGTCAGACAGGGCTAGACCAGGCTGGATTAACACAGAGAGGCCTAAAGCAAACTGGTTCTCAAGTCCATTGTAGGTTTCCAGAATTCCAGTCTAAGCTTTTACTCCAAGCTCACAGCACAGTCTATTCTCTCTCTCTGAAAGCTTTTAGTCATTCTGTTATTAAATGTATTTTATTTTTTTACCATTTATTCTGTTGAGAAACCAGCCACCACAGACTGCAAAAATCAGCTGTCACATTGTGCTGGTTTGAGCTCAAACCAGCACACACATTACTCTGGAAGCTCAGGCAACACAGAGCATCTGTGGGCCACAGCAGCCTATACTGCTCTGCTTTTTTGTCCTTTACTTTTTACAACATGCTGTAAAACAAGCAATCATGAAGTGCATTTGCCTGGTACCTTGGCCTCTTTGTCTGCCTATATATCAGACCAAGAGCAGCCCCTCTATCCTAGCATTTACCCTGGTCTGTGGAAACCCTGTTTTCCCACAGTGATGGTCACTGTTAAATCTTGATTTCATCAAGTTGTGCAGAGATAATTGGGCTAAATTGAACAATTTCACACTCTAGGGTGCTGTGACAGTAGTGTGAAGAGAAAGCCATTCCCTTATGACAGGTTTCATGCCACGTGTGAATTTTTGAATAGCACATAAAGACTTTGCACTGTTGGGGTTTGACTTGGTTTTTTGAATATTCTGATGGAGCACAAAGAAGAGACACAGTCCATTCTGAAAAGGTTTTGATTCTCACTGTTACTGCAGTGGCCCTTTCCTTGTATTGCTCAGAGGTGTTCTAGGTATTTGGAATGGCTACTGAATCCTCAGTCACTGGGGAAATGGGAACCAGAAAAATGCCTGGTACTAGGAGCTCATGTACCTGCTCTGCTCAGTAAACACCCACAGCTGTATTTGCTATCACTGGAAGAAATGTACATCATCAAGGCCAAAAGCTGAAGATAAATTAGGCAGCACTGACTAAACGCTCTTTGCCCAATGGCCCAGAGGGATTTCAGGTTAGCATCTGCTGAGACACTTTGTATCAGCCTGATCCTTACTTCATCCTCTAACAGTAACTCAGGCTCAGTGTTTACTGTCAAGGAAAGGATTCTGTGGTTCAACAAACTCTGGGTACAACCAGGCAGATACAGATCTGGGAAGCTTTGATTCACAGCATTCCCAGTCTGGCTTGATGCTTATTTTAAAAATAAGTTCATTATTCCATCCAGGTTTATTGCCTATGTTAACAGTATCAGACAGTACACAGCACTCTGAATAGTGCTCATGTGTGGGATTAAGTTCAGGTCAGCAAGAGGCAGTCACAAAGTTAAGTGGAACATGGATATTTATGATAGGATTAAATCACTACCTGAAAACAATTAGGGCAGTGATCAAGTAGATGCTTCTGTTAACCAACTATAAAAATATAAATGAAAGAAAAGTAAACCCTTAAGTGGTCGAGGTGAGGACATGCCCAACCTCACTGATCACTGTTCATCTTCCTCTCCAGCCTTCTGCTCTTTGGCCCTGTTTGATACTGTCTGTAATGTTCTCAAGTACACAGGAGTGTCAGACTTCAATCAGGTGTTTGTGTCATGCAGTTCCACAGACTATTGATCCTGTTCCCAGGCATCTCCTAACAAATGTCACAGATTGTTCCTTAACCATATCAGCATTTCTGCTATAGTTCACTGAGGGGGCACAGCCAGATCTGCACAATACCCTGTTGGCAAAGAGATGTGCTGAGGAGCATTTCTGGAGCAAAGCCATGGCATCCGTATGAAAAACGTGAGTTTAAAACAGGCCAACAAACAAAAATCTCTCCCATCACCACAGCCCAATTCACAGCAGTGGTTTGCCAGTTCAGCCACACAAAACAGACATGGAAATTTTTCTTTCCCAGGATGACGAAGCTGGAATGATAGTTTAAAGTTGGCTTTGTCAGTTCTTGTCTTCCTTAAAGCCCCTGAAGCCTTGCCTCTAGCACACAATACTCAGCATGAGTATCCACTCTACCCACAGTGCTTCTTCCTCCCCGTCAGGACTGTAATAACACACAGAGTGAATAACCACAACAATGAGAGTCAAAAAATGAACAAGAGACAGCTCCTTGCCTGGTGGTAAGAGACTGGAGACACTTCAAAGAAAACCAGTGTGTTCCATGAAGGCACTAATGACTTGGTGATTTGCTGTGGCTGAAAGTGTTCTGAAGAGGAAGAAAACGTAATCTGGTTAAGATATGAACTGGAAATTACTAGAAACTGCCATTTCTCTCTGACTTCATGACACAGTGACTGGTAGGACACCTGGATAAAAGAGATGGAGGTCAGAACAAGGGCTTGGTGAGGAATCAGTGGACCTGTGCTATGGAGACAAGCTGAGAGTTGGGGCTGTTCAGCCTGGAGAAGAGAAGGCTCCAAGGAGACCTTAAAGTCCCTTCCACAGCCTAAAGGGGCTGCAGGAGAGCTGGAGAGGAACTTTGGACAAGGTCATGGAGTAACAGAACAAGGCAGAATGGCCTTACACTGACAGAGGGCAGGGCTAGATTAGATTTTAGGAAGAAAATCTTGACTATAAGAGCAGTGAGGCACTGGTACAGGTTGCCCAGAGAAGCTGTCTGCCCCATCCCTGGAAGTGTTCAAGGCCAGGTTGGACAGGGCTTTGAGCAATGTGATTTAGTGGAAGGTGTCCCTGCCTGTGGCAGAGGGATTGGAACAAGATGAGCTTTAAGATCCTTTCCAACCCAAACCACTCTGTGGTTCTGTTGCTAGGAAGTTATCATCATCAATCTGGAGTTCCAAGCACAGCTACTGGCATAGCTTCCATCCTGCCTCTACTCTTAGCCCTTATAAAATAATGGAATAAAAGGCTGTTTCTTAATCTGCTGTTGGCCATTAGCATTACCTGCACAGCCTGCTACAACCCATATCTAAGTTGCAAATTTTACCTACACATCAGCTTTTCTGGACAAAGGAGAAACTCTTTGTCTTCCTTCTACCGCTTGAGGAGTTGCTGCAAAGGGCACATGAGCTTCATCTTTTTCATCCACCTGAGGCCAAGCTCAGAGCTCTTACCATCTGTGCTGTACAGGTCCAGTGTTCCTCCATCACTGCTCTCCCAGGGGGGAACGAGGTACAGGATGAAAGCGATTCTCCGACCTTCCAGCTCATCGTCATGGCACAGCAAAACATC